TTTTATCCTATACATTATGGGACCTAAGACAAATGAGATGGTACACTGCAATCTCCTGCACCGACAGTACTTTGGCATTACCGTAGTTTTGCGATAGAAGAAGCGTTTTTATAACCCTAACTAATGTCCTGTGACGTACAAGTAGCTATTGGACAAGATCAATGACGGTCGAAAGTCCCATTATGGAGCTTCTCTTATCCTGGCATCCACCCCAATCCCATGCCCGTTGTTGCCGTGGGGGGCCTTAAAAGACGGAGACTAAGACCCAGTGCTGGGGATCACCCTCCCACTGGGCCTCAGCTCATGACATTTTCCACTCCTTCGTTTCCTTCTCTTCTCCAATCCCTTCTACTTACAACTTCCTAAGGCGTGAGAGCCGTGTTGAAAGGATGAAAGGCTGACTTTGTGCCAGTCCTGAACGGCCTGAGGGAGCCATGGGCACGGTATACCCCTGTTTTAGTTGCCTAACCCTTACCCCTAATGGGGACCCTGAGGAGTGGCCCGTTTCTCTCCCCAACATGCTCTAGGCTTACCATGGCCAGTAATAAAGGTGTCACACCATTAGTAGGGGCAATAGGGCTTACCTCTTCATCACTTATTCAAATTCTCCCGGTTCCCCGACTCTACGCTCTCCTTTGACCACGACTCTGAACACTGCTACTACTGCCCACCCCTTATTACTACTGTACAACACTCCTCTTCCAGCAATGGCTCCAAAAACAAGTTGGCAAAGTTTCCTTCTGCAGCCGCCCTGGTCGTTCTCATCATAGTTACATCTGCAACCCACGCTAAGTGTTATCATCCCTGACAAACTTCACTGGCAAACCCATTCCTGCAGAACTTCATCCCTCCCTCAATACTTGCATCTCCCAGCAAACTGCCCTGTCTACAGCAAAGGTTGGTCAGATTGTGGAGAACACTTACTTGCCTGCCTCACGGGCTATGGTGCAGTATCAGTACAATGCTACACCATTCCCTCTCTTTAATATTTACCTTGCAGTCTCTCCCTGTCCGACCATTTCAACCTCCCCTCCGTCAATGTCGGAATTGTTGGCGTCTAGGCCACCTTGCCGAACACTGCAGCTCTATATCTCGTTGCCTTCTCTGTGCCCAACCTGGTCGTAGTCAATCAAACTGCTCTGCACAGTCACGCAAATGGGCTAGATGTGGCGGCTCCCATAATGTATTTTATAGGGGCTGCCCCACCTGCAAGTTTAAGTCTGAAGTGGCAACTCTCACCCAGACTTGGCCTCAATCTACACGAAGCCAGGCAGGAGGTACGTCGACTAGATATCTATCTCACTCCCTATTCCAATAATCGCTCTGCCCTTCCCCTTTCCTCCCAAGATGTTTCCACATCTTCCCCAACATCTCTTCCTCATCCCACTTCTACCCCCTCCCTTCAAATTCCTTTGCCATTCTAAATCCAGACACCCCAATCTCCTCTGCTATTCCTAGACGCTCCAATCACTACTTCCCCGGTACTTCCTCCTCATCCAGTTCATCGCACAAGACAAGCTGCTCACTCCATCCCACCTGCTACCCCATCCTCTCCATCAACTTCTCCCTTCATCCCTCAGATATCTGTCCGCCCCCCCCCCCCCCCCCTGAAGGAAACCTTCATTTCTCAGCCCTCCCCAACCGACTCCACGGCCCAAGATACGATGCCTACACCTCAGTCATCTTCCAGTCTCTCTACTGCCGACATCCATCTTCCTCCTACTCATGTTTCCCCCACACCCCTTCCTCTCACTCCCTCCCAATACACCCACCCCCTGTTTCAGCCGCATCATCCCCTCCTAACCCACTGTCCCTCCCGCTTCCCCCTAGATGTGACCCTTTGTCACAGCAACCCCCTTCCCTGGATTCTCTCCCTCCTGACATTCCCACTGAAACTGCGACCTAATTGCCCTTACACCCCTTTCTCCTTTGCCAATCCCTACCCTTAACCTACGGACAGACACACATCTTCCTTTGTCAGCTTTGATCAGTTCGCACTTTAATCCCGACCTTCCTGAACTGCAACACGAATTCTGGCGTTTAGCACATATGATCATCAACTAACCCCCCTTTACTCTCTTCACTATTACACCTTTCTATAGTGCTAAATAATCTTTATATAGTTTGTTATGTAACCATTAACCATTAAACATTTAACTGACATCCTTTGAAATCAAACCGTACTAACCGTTAGTTCACAACCCTGCACGCCACGAGAGTCGAGAGTGAATTATCTGTATCTTCAGTAACATAAAGTAGAAAAAAGAAATTCTAATAATTTTCTGTGTTGATAAAAGGAAGAATAAAGATAACATGGTAAGACATTAAGGAGGGAGTTAAGTAACTAGGAGACAATTCTTGTTTAATAGAATGTCCAGTTTATTCTGTATGTTGGCAAGCGGAAATTGCCATGTAAGCAGGCGTTTAACTCAATCCAGTGCAGTTCGTGATGCCGTTGTTTTAAAAAATCACACACACACACACACACACACACACACAC